AACTCCTCCACTTGGGGTAGGACCTCCTCCCTGACCCAGAGAGGGCACTCTACCCTTTTCCGGCTCAAGACCATGGCCTCGGATTTGGAGGAGCTGATCTTCATCCCGGCCGCGTCGCATTCGGCTGCGAACCGCTCCAGCGAAAGCTATAGATCACGATTTGATGAAGCCAATAAGACCACATCATCTGCAAAAAGCAGAGATGCAATCCTAAGGCCATCAAAACGGATCCCCTCAACACCTTGGCTGCGCCTAGAAATTCTGTCCATAAAAGTTATGAACAGAATCGGTGACAAAGGGCAACCTTGGCGGAGTCCAACTCTCACCGGGAACAAGACCAACTTACTGTTGCTTTTTTAAAATTTATTTTTTATTTTTTTTGCACCTACATTGCACATCCACGGTACGGGTTTGACAGCAACACAAGTGGAGTTTTCTATGTCGCTGCCTTGCCATCGTGCCATCCTGCCATTGTGGTTCAGTCCTTCCAGTCATGGCGGCTGTCTCCATGATCCTCCATCTGCCTGCACGGACCGAACTCTACGGACCCATTCGGTTCTGCAGGGAAACCTTAGATGTTTTCTGTCTGACGGACCCGGTTCTGGAGGGTAGTCTGGGAGGGCAGCTGCTGCAGTCACTGTTACCATCAAGCTGCTGACAGGACCTGCTAACAAGATCCTCCATCTGCCTGCACGGACCGAACTTTGCGGACCCGCTTGGTTCCACGGGGAAACCATGGATGTTTTCTGTCTGCCAGACCCGGTTCTGGAGTGCAGCTGCTGTGGTTATTATTAACATCAAGCTGCTGATGGGACCTGCTAACAAGACCACGCCGCTAACTGAACCATGGTGCTAACTAGACCATGTTGCTAAGAGAACCTCACTGTCATCAGAACCACTCTGCCAATAGGACCACTGCTGTAGATTTATTTCTTTTTCACTTTTGGCACCTTGTTTCTGTATTTTTGTTGCATGCTTTGAATAAATCCTAGTTTATGTTAGTGCTTGCATTAAGCGTGTAAATTATAGCCAAACAGCACCTATGAGAACCGTGCTGCTGTTGTTCGGTGTATTTTTTTGCACTATTGGTGACTAGCGTATATCTTTTAGTGTACCATTGGGCGTTTATCGTGTATCTTAGTTGATATCTTAGATCCTTACTTACTGTTTCTTTTTACACTTTATATTTTTGCTATTGTTTGATGTAACTGGGACCCTCTGTACACAATTTTGTTCCACCTCATGTATCACATGCGATGCGAATGACTAATAAAGAACCTTGAATCCTTGAATCTGTTAGTCAATCCATCACCAGAGCAAGCAAGAAGGGGCTCAGAGCTGATCCTTGAAGCTATCTGTCACTCCTACAGCACATCTCACCACTGACCTGCAGTCCTCATACATGTCCTGAACCAGCCTACCATACTTCTCTGCCACTCCAAATTTCCTCGTGCAGTACTACACCTTCTCCCTCAGCACTCTTTATATGTTTTTTCTAAATCCACAAAGACAATGGAGTTTTTTCTGACCCTCTCTGTACTTCTCCATCAGCATCCTCAAAGCAAAGATGGCATCTGTGGTGCTCTTTCTTGGTATGAAACCATACTGCTGCTCACTAATAATTGCCTCTCGTCTAAGTCTAACTTCCATAACTCTCCCCCAGATCTTCATTGTGTGACTCATCAACTTAATTCTCCTTTAGTTGCTACAACTCTGTACATCACCCTTGTTCTTAAAAATGGGCACCAGCACACTTTTCCATTCCTCAGGCATTTTTTTCACCCACAAATATGCCATTGAATTTTTGCGTCAAAAACCTCACTGCCATCTCTCCAAGACATTTCCAAACCTCCACTGGTATGTCATCAGGTCCTATTGCCTTTCCTTTTTTCATTCTTTTCAGAGCTTTCTGAACTTCACCCTCACTAATCTTTCCCACTTCCTAGTCCACAGTTCTATGACCTCTACTCTTCTTTCTCTTTCATTCTTTTCATTCATTAGCTCCTCAAAGTACTCCTTCCATCTTCCCGTCACACTCTCCTCACATTACTATTCCTTTCTTTAACAAGCCTAACCTGCTGCACATCCTTTCCAGCCTGATCCCTCTTTCTCGCCAATTGGCACAAGTCCTTCTCGCCCTCTTTAGTGTCCAACCTCCCATACGACATACACCTTCTGCGTTTTATTTTCAAATTTACTAAAAGGAGGCTAAAATCATACAATCTGATTATCGTTAAAAGTCTGCCATTTAAATTCTCAACCATCTCAAGTCTTTCTCATTGAACCAAATACAAAAGCGTTTTGAATCATCAAACTTTGAGATGGTAAAGTGTTTGACTTTGATCTCTACTGTGTATCAGTGACCATTTTTTAATTTTTTTTGTAGGGGGGTAAACAAAATCAAATAAAGCTGTGTGTTACTGTGCGTGCTGCCACAATCATGTTAGCCAGACTGGCTGAGAATGTGTGTAGGAGCAGCGTTGCTTATGACACTGCATGCAGGCCTGGACACACGTGAAGCACAAAGAACTGGGCTCAGATTGGCCAAAGTCTCAGGAAGGTATATTAGTTTCTGTTTTTGTGCCAGAGTTGTGTAGGGTTTTTCTTTTTCTCCTGAATTCTATGTTTTAATATGTAACTACATTTTTTACCCAAAATGTGTCTAATCATATTGAGCAATAATAAAATTTTAACAATTCAATAGGAGGATGAATTGCAGTAGGACCCACATGCTTTTGGTGCTTTAGCATAAAAAAACTCAGAAACATGATGCTTTAAGCTAAGCATGCTGTAAAACTTACTAAAAATAAATAAATGAAAATTTAATTTGTTCCAAAGGGAAACTGTTTCTTTATTTTCTTGCTGTCATTTGCGAGGCAGCCAAAACCGTCTCATCAGGTTTACGTTTCAGGAAGTTTTTTGTCATTCAGAATTAGATATTTGGACAGTCGAGCAGTGAACAAACTCTACAGCTGTTCATTTTGTGTTCCTGTCCTCCTCCTAGATGCTCAACAGCTGATGCTCATTAAAGAAGAAACGCCTGAAGGATGGCGGTCTGGTGTGGACCCTGTCCACATAAAGGAGGAAGAGGAGGAACTATGGACCAGACTGGATGGAGAGGACAAAGATTCTTCTGAAGAATGGAGGCCTGGTGTGGACCCGCTGCACATAAAAGAGGAAGACGAGGAACTCTGGACTTGTTTGAGGGGAGAACGGCTTGATGAGAAGAAGGAGGTGGATGCCTCCATGTTTTCACTCATTGCCTCTCCTCTTAAGAGAGAGTATGAAGAAGAGAAACATCTGTTCTCACATCTTCAAAAACGCCAAATAAAAGGGGAAGATTTTCCATCCTGCAGCTCAGCTGACCAGATAAAAGCTGCAACCAGTGGAGAGAACTGTGGAGAAGCAGAAACTACAATTAACCCTGATCTAAAGACCTCTGAAGACGATTCCAACTCCTTTGAGACTGAAGTCAGTGATGAAGATGATGAAGAGGACGATGATGTGGACAATCCTGAATATTGGCTGGTGCATGAAGCTGACTCTGGAGCAGAAGCTAAAGGCAGTGATGATGACTGGAAGGCGAGTAGGACATCTGAGTCAGGTGTAAACACTGCGAACACATCTTTCAGCTCCTCTGAGGGTGATAAACAATTTAACCACTGGTCTTTTCCTGAACATGAAACAAGTAATTCAAGAATGGTATCAACTGGTTGTTTTGCTCAGAAAAAAGTTTGTAGAGTAAAAAGTAATGTTGACTCAGAGGGAAAAGTTCAGAAATTGTTTAGTTGTAATAATTGTGATAAAACATTTACAAGAAAAACAGATTTAAAATCACACCTAGAAATTCACTCAGGAGAAAAACCGTTTGTTTGTGATGTGTGTGGACAAAGATTTACCCGAAAGACAACTCTGGACATCCATGCAAGAATCCACACTGGCGAAAAACCATTTGGCTGTGATTTTTGTGGACAACGTTTTACCCAAAAGTCAACTTTAATCACACATATGAGAATCCACACAGGACAGAAACCGTTTGAATGTGTTGTATGCGGACGAGGATTAAGCAGGAGGACACATTTAAACAAACACATGAGAATCCACACAGGACAAAAACCTTTTGGATGTGATGTTTGTAGACAAAGATTTATTTGTAAGAAGAGTTTGGAGACGCACAGGAGAATCCACACAGGAGACGAACCGTTCGTGTGTGACATTTGTGGACGAACATTTACGCAACAGGGATCTTTGATGTCACACAAGAGAATCCACACCGGGCAAAAACCATTTCATTGTGACGTATGTGGACAGATGTTTAGTCGAAAGACCAACTTAAATACACACAAGAGAATTCACACAGGAGAGAAGCCGTTTGGCTGTGATGTATGCGGACAAAGATTTAACCAAAAACCAACTTTAGTCGCACACAAAAGAACCCATACAGGAGAGAAACCGTTCGCTTGTGAGGTCTGTGGACAAAGGTTTAGCCGGAAGACGAACTTGAACACGCACGTGAGAAGCCACACAGGAGAGAAACTTGCTTGTGATGTGTGTGGAGAAGCATTTAACCAAAAGTCACGTTTAAACCGACACATGAGGATCCACACAGGATGGAAAATAATTTAACTGTAAATATTAAAACTAATGTTAACTCTGAACTACAACTGCACAGGTGCAAGGTTTTTAGTTTGTCTTTGTCTATTGCAGCTGCAGAAGTATGCTTTCTGCAACTTATCTTAAAAAAATAAAACCATTCAGGGCTTTCTATGGAAACCTTGAAAGCCCCGACAGTGCACCACAAGTTTATTGTGACTTTTGTTATTACTTATGGCAGAAACTGCAGTTTTTTAATACACAGATATTTATTCCTTATTGTTGTGATCCATATTTAAGTCTTAAACCATTTATTTTATTACTCTACGGACCTCTTTATTGTTCATCGTTTCCAGGTGTATTCTTTAAATGAATAAAAACTGAAAATGTAAAGTTGTTGCAGCAAAATAATCGATGTAAAAAAAATTTTAAATGTTCAAAACATTTTTATCCAAAGAATGTACTTATTTTATGAAAACAATATAATTACAAAAAAATACTTTTTTGAATAGAGGATTTTTTTTTACACATCAGAAGTTGTAAAAATATATGAATAATATAGACATTAATAAAATAATTTCAAATTAAAAGGCATTATCTCAATAAATTTCCATAAATGTACATATGATTTCATTATATGTGTAATAACATATAATTTTAAAAACATGGCAGCATTGCTAAAAAAATAAAGGAACATAGCTTTAAATTAAATAAAACCAAGTAGAATTGTATAGAGAACAACTGTTTTAATAAAGTAAACTTTAAATGATTATAAACTTATATGAGGGGATCATTAATGGGGAGACAGGTACAAGGAGTGTAAAGTCTATAATTGTGTTTTTGTGAATTTGTTAAATTTTTTAATATGTTGTGCTGCAAATGCAAACAATATTCATTATAATTTTATGTTAAACTGTATAATCCACTTATGGTGTTCGTTTTACTCAAAAAAAAAAGTTGAATGTTGTTTAAAAACAGATTACTCTTTGTGGAAAGTCCTTTGCACATTTCTCCCTCACATCTTTACTGACGAGTTTTTAATTCTTTCGTCTCTGAGACGAAGAGCAGAACAGACTTGTGTATAAAATGGATCCAGTGTAATAAATAGATTTTCTATCTCGTGTCATTAAATTTCAGGCTAAAAGTTTGTGTTCACAATAAAAGAAAGTCTGATGAAATTGTCATCTTTGTCATTTTATGGCTGAAGTTAATTTTCTCTTATGTGTAGAGGCTACTTTCTGCGGCAAAGTCAAAATTGTGAGATACTGTTTCATAAGAATGACTTTATAATCTGGGATCTTAAAATTCAATAACGCGGCCTAGATGCGGTCATAATTTAAAATATCTTATATGACAAAAGTTTTTTTTTCAGAGCAGTGGAAATAAGAGACTAATGAAGAAGGGGCAGAGGTCTGAAGTATAAAGACCAAATTCTGTCCATATGTTTTACTTGTATTCAGATGTTCAGTAAAAAAAAAACAAAGACTATATTTGTAGTTTATAAAGCTAACACTAGATGTCAGTGTTGCTTCGGGCGGAGAAACAAGTTTCCTTGCACGTGCAGATGTTTATAAACCGTCTAAGATCTTGCTGTGGTAATCAAGGCCCGCCCCCCGCTTGTTCGCTGATAGGACTACGGTTTGATTGACAGGCTGCACTCCAATAAAATCAAGGCGATGGGGCGTGGCTTTTGTTGCTTATTAAATCTGTGCGGGTCGGACACATGCAGGCTTCCCGTGATGTTGAGAAGTTATAAGAAGTCACAGAGAAGTTGCACGCGGTCTTGCGCTCCCAGTTTGAGCTGTATCTCCTCAACCGGACTCGTGTTTTAGTCTAAACTTGGTGTTTTACAGGTTGTTCGTCATGTCAGCAGCAAACCAGATTGTGTTTGGGGAAAGGGGCGACCTTCCTGACCTGCTGAAGGCTCTAGCTGACTATTCCTTCCCTGCCTTTGATGACATTGGTGAGCATTTATTTCTGTTTCATTAAACTTAACAGAACAGGAAAGCCTTTCTTAAAACTTTTAATGCAGCACTTAATGTAAAACTGATTTGGAGCATGAGCAGAAACCTATAAACATTATATTATTATGTACTTTTTACTTTAAATGTATTCCAGTGTACTTATAAGGATTGTTTGAAAGCAATGCCAAGTTTTTGTTTAATGGTAGATAAATTAGATTAAAATGCAAGGCATCAAAATATAACATGTTAAAAACACCACCTGACAGCCATCCCACCGGGCTGCTCTGATCATGTAGGATTGTTATGTCACTCATGGTACAGTCATAACAGGATGAGTCTGAGGATCAAAGTTAGGTCCCAAGTTTCATGCATCATGTCAGCAGCATTTCACCATCAAGTCATAACATGACGCAGCAAACAAACTGTCATCAGCCTGGGCTTCATTGTGTCCTTGAATATTTTTCTGGACATTCATTTTTTTTTTTTTTTTTGCTTTAAAAGTACTTTCTTGCTCATGTTTCTTTCGTTTAGAGATGTTTATATGAGCAACAAGTTATTCAGATAGGCCTCCTTTTCCTTCAATAATTCTATTGGCCAACTTTTAAAATATGCAACAGTGTGCACAGGAATTTAGATTCATAAGTAGAAAAAAAATGTATATTTTGACAGTCAGAACCATTCAGTTACTGAGGGTATTTGTTTTTTAATTAAAGAAGCTTGATTTTGGAGGTCAGCTGGCACTACAGACTAAACAGAAAAAGTCTGCACAGGCCTTTGTATAAACCTGCAGATTATTGTAAAATGTTTTGTACCATGCTCTGCATAACTGTAGGTTTGATTTCTCCTTCGTGTAGAGTATGAATCACCAGAGAAATGCCATCACATGTGCACAAACAAGCGACTAGCTTTTCTTTACAAATGCACACCACCCAGCACATCACATGCCAACATGTTAAATAAAGAGCTCACGTGATTTGGTAAAACTCAGTATGTGTGGGGGTGACTCTCGGCAAGTAGCCTACCAATTTTTAGCTCAAAATCTGTAAAACACTAAGTTATAGACACTTTTGAGTTGGCATTGATCAGCTGTGGCGACCGTATTGAATCAGGTTGACTCCAAAGATGGATACATCCGGTGCTCGTTCTTCTTCTTGTGATTATACAGAGGTACGAAACTATAGTTTTTAAGGTCTGTGATGATTTTATGTACAGACGGTGTTCAGGACATTGAGATGCAGAAGTAGTCTGACCGAAAAAAAAAAACTAAAGACCCACAAACTCAAACTACATAAGAAAACCTATCATAACAGTTTTGTTAATATTTTATACACAAACAAGTTTGCTTAGTTGTATTATGATTAATTAAGGAAAAAAATCAAGACGTGCTCTCATGTTTGCACATTTAATTAACACACCAGTCACATGATGGTGCCACGGTTGGTTGGCCCCAAGGATGCAGACAAGGAGCTGGAGAAAATTAGATCTCTTTTATTATAAAACAATGGATGTGGCAGCAAACATACAGGATCCAGTATTTGTATCGGTGGGTACGGAGAGGTAACTGAACGTGGCATGTAGTTTTAACTAAACTAGGTTTTCATCAGCATTGAGGCTCAGTTTTGAAATGAAAATGAGCCACTAATGTTATTGCAAAACACTCATATCATGTATATTTATTTAGTGGATGCAAACAATAAAATTAGTCTATCCTTCCCTTCCAGATCTTATTTACCGGAGTCCTCTTTGGGACTTTATTTTGCTGTATTTAAAAATAACATCTCTGCTAAAGTTAAATGTTGTTACTGAGTCCAAACATAAAACCTGAGTGTAAGTACACCCTGTTAATAGCCAGCAAGCTGTGCAATAAGGACATGTGAAACTAGCACTTGATATAAAGCATTAGTTAAATTGTAATGAAATATTCTGAGCGTGCTCAGAAAGAAAACCGTGTTGCATGCGCGAACAATTTATTTTATTAGAAATCACGTGGGGAATGCAGAAAAATAGAAATAAACAAAATGTCCCATTTCGGCAGTTTAATTAGTGAACGGTGAGCGCGCGCTCTCTTACTCGCATTGACTTGCACGTGAAGGCAGAGCTGGAGCTCCGCCCCCGCGACAGGTTGTTCTTCCGAGAGGGGGAGGGGGGGACGTGGGCGGATCGCACGTGTTTGGCCACGAGTGTCATGTTCCTGCAAGTGACGAGAAGTTTTTTTTTTTTTTTTTCAGGGGCAGACTTCCTGTGTTTTAGAGGCAGCTCTGTTTCTAGTCAAAATCAAGGGGCGGAAATTTCAATGTGTTTTCCGTCACCGACTCCCCGCATTTTAAGCCGATATAATCATCTCAAATATATTCTCGTTAATTTAGTGTAACTGTATAGCAGTGCTGCAACTCATAATTTTATCTGAATAAACTCATATTTTTCGCTTTAAAATTAGAAACTAATGAAATACACTAGAGTCGTGCATATTCAGTAACGTGACGCATATATTCATGAACAAAAGCAGTGACAACCAATCAGCTTCCACTATTCTCTTAGGGGCGTGGCACGCAACAGAGTCAACGAATCACCATCCAGTATTCTGTGAAGGGCGCGGCACGTGACTCATGAATATCCAATGAGAACGCTCGGTGGGTACAGGGAACAAGTTGTTTTTTTCCGCGTCTTTAAGCTGTATTGTTGACATATAAACTCCGACACGAGCAGGAGTCGCAAATAAAGTAGAATTCCCGGTACTTCTTGTTTCCTTCGGACGGTTTGCGAGTTGCGGTGTCGCTACCAACACTGTCCCGGTGTCTTCTTCGGAGCTTGGCAAGAAACGATGCCTGGCAAAGCGGCAGTGGTGGTGGCACTTCAACCCAGCCTTAATGTCGCTCCGGCGGCTCCACAGAAGTCCTTCCCTTTTGTTTTGAAGAAGATTATGGACATCCCACCTCCTAATATCCTGGAGGAATGCGACGACGGTAAGCTTTAAGTGATGCTTTTGTCAGTTGGATCAACTCGAAGTTTGACGAAGGTTCAAACTACAGAAACGTCATCTAATCTCTTGCCAGAGGTCCTTAGGTGTGTTTTTATTAAAAAATGGCGGGCGGTGTTTGTTGTCAGTGCGGGTTGTACGCCATGTGTTGCGCGTGGCTCATTTCCTCTCCAGGCTGCGAGGAAGCAGAAAAGAACAAAAAGTTCCCACTTGTCTGGGCTGGTTTTAAAGCTGAGGAAGCAGACCGTAAATGCACCTGGAGACGGAGGCAATGCTTGGCGTTTCACTCGGGACATGGGTTTGATTTGATCTGCATCTTGCAGGGTTTTATTTAGGGTTGCATCATGTGTGGAACAAGTGAGACTAATGTGACTTCTGTGACGCCTCATTCTGCATTATTCCAGTTTTGCACAAACTCCTTCAGCATCGTTGACGGTGTATAACATTATTTTGTTTGTGCAGTTTTTAGGTTGCATGTAAATTCAGTCCCACTTCCAGCTGTACGTGCGGTTTCTTTGTTTTAGACCCTCGAGGTCACGTGTGCACAGCAGAACATTTCACTGACAACTATTCAAACCTCATTGTCTTTATACAGATCTAGAGAAAGAAAAGCAGAGCTGCTCCGATGATGGCGAGGGAGGTGGGGCGGTGGCGTCCAGTGAGGGTGGAGGTGCAAGAGGAGGAACAGGGGGTGGTGTTGGCGGCAGTGGAGGCGTATCAGCCTCCTTGACCCCTGCCATCTGGGAGAAGACCATTCCTTATGATGGGGAGACCTTCCACCTGGAGTACATGGACCTGGATGAGTTCCTCCTGGAGAACGGCATCCCTGTGAGCCTGGAGGAAGAGGAGCTGCAGAGGACTCTGACTTCAGTTGATGGGAAAGGCAAATCTGTTCCCAAACCTCCTGAATTAGCTGACACAGTTACTTCCTCTCCTCCTCCTGCTTCTGCTCCTGCAGCTGAAGTTTCAGCCTCCACCCCAAATTCTGCTCCTTCCTCCACAGCCACCTCAGACCCAGAGGAACCTGTGACAGTCACAACCTTACAACCCGCTAAACTAGAAGAGGATGAAGAGCAGGAAGAAGAAGAAGAGGAAGGACAGGAGGAGGAGTCTTTGCCTGTGGAGGCAACTGCAGAAGTGGAAGTGAAGAAAAAGGGTAAGTGATAGAGGTTTTTAATTAATAGCATAGATGATGGGATTTAAACATTTTTCAAATGTCTTTAGATTTGTCTCAAAAAAGAGAAAGACTTTTAACGTTTGTGTCAAAAAGCAAAGTAAGAACAGCTGACGTCACCTGCACTACTAGTAATTTATTTAGAGTTTAACTACACAGACCCTGCTGACACTCCCGCTGCAAAGACAAATGTTATTATTCCACGTCATACACATTTTTGCCAAACAAAACTGTGGTTCGCTACTTTCCGAGTCTCAGTTATCACTGAAACGAGAAACTAAGATGAGACATGTTCGTGTTGGTTGAGATAATTTTTTGATTCTTGTCACCTGAGAACTGGGTAAGCCGGCATAATACAAAAAATTAACATCTGCTGTTAAATTCACGAGAAAAAACTCTTCTGACAAAGTCCTTGAAGATGTTTTAGAGCTTTCTCTCACAGAAATTTCAAAACAAACATGCTGTATATTCTTACAAGTGAGAAATGTTTTTTTTATTTAATTTAAGTATTTCCAAGTTCCCATTAACTTCAATGAGCATGTTCAGATGGTGATTCTGCATCAATTATTAAAAATATTCTAACAAAGTAAAACATTAATAATGACAGATGTGGATTCAGGATTTTCTGGAGCGGCCCCCTTTCATCCAGACTTACTTTTTCTCTTTTTGCCCACAGAGTGCAACTCTGCAGAACGCAACACGCCCTCCCCTATCGATCCCGATGCCATTGAGGTGGACATCAACTTCCAGCCGGATCCAACAGATCTGGTCCTGTCCAGCGTTCCCGGGGGAGAGCTGTTCAACCCGCGCAAGCACAAGTTCTCCGACGAGGAGCTGAAACCGCAGCCGATGATCAAGAAGGCCAAGAAAGTGTTTGTTCCTGATGAGAAAAAGGTAGTTTGACTAAAAGAAACCATAAAATAAGTTTGAAAAGTAAAGAGAGCACTCAACACAAGTCATTTCAAATCCATTTTCTGTTTTTGTGGAGTTGAACTTCAACTTGACCTCTTCTTGACTTTCGTTTTCCTTCTGTAGGACGAGAAGTACTGGTCCAGGAGGAAGAAGAACAATCTGGCAGCGAAGCGTTCTCGTGATGCACGGCGGCTGAAAGAGAACCAGATCACGGTGCGCGCTTCCTTTCTAGAGCGGGAAAACACGGCGCTGAGGCAGCAAGTTGCAGAGATGAGAAAGGACTGTGGGCGCTGTAAGAATATCTTGGCCCGCTATGAGGCCAAGTACGGCCCTCTGTAAAAAAAAATATATATATATATATATCAACGAAGCATCAATGAGACAGAAGCAGAACTCCTTCCCCCGCAGACATCCAACACAGACACAAACACAGAGGGAACATATATTTGCACTGTCCACTGACCTCCAGTCACCGTGTCGAGCTCCAGTTGCCGTCTCGACGTGATGCTGGAGTTTTGGATACACTGGCAGGCAGTGAGGCATGATGGGAGCAGTGGTCACAGGTAGGCCTGTGGAGAGCGCCTGGCTCCTACACTCAGAGAAGAGGCGGACCGTTCTGGGTACTCCCATGCTCAAAGGCACATGGGAAAATGGGGTTTATTTCAAGAAAAGTCACGATTTGCAAAAAGAGCAGGCAAGTACGGCAGATTAGCGAGCTTTTAAATAATTTTATCACCACACAGCTTCTTGGGAATAAATCTCCAGTAGGGTGGATTAGAAGGTTGTGTATTTTACATCCATCTCTTTTTCGTGTGTTGCACTAAACTCTGGCTGAAACTAAACACGAGCAAGACTCATGTTGGTACGAGTGTTAGGGGAAAGCACGGGGGAGGCTTCAAGTGCTACAGGTCAGTCACGGTTCTTCCTTTTCCAAACTGTCTGTGCACACACAGAAACACTTTAAAACGACGGTGTGTAAAAACAGTCTTACTTCCATTTCATGGTGGCGTGTTCTTAGCCTCATCTTTGCACTTTTTTCCTTTAAAAACCCTTCCCGTGTAAAGGCAGGTAGCACGGTGGGACACGCAGTAGCTTCCATAGTGAGGGAAAATCAAACATGAAAAGTTAAAGCTACTGTGATTAAAAAAAAAAAAAATCTGTATTTTTTATTAATGATCTTTGATCAGCTTCATGTAATCAGTTTATTTAAATGTATGGCTTTAACATGGAAGGAAAGATTTTTTTTTTAATTAAAGGTGAGCTTTACGAGTGTTAGTCTGACGTACAGGGCCTTCACCTGTGGAGGGACATGAGGATTTGTGGAGTTTGTTTTACTGCGCACCGCCAGTAGAGGGCGCTAGAGTCTCTGGCTATTAAAAGTGTAGTGACAGGACAGATTCCACCCACAGTTTCTTTCTTTTTTTAAACAAAATAAAACAAAGGATGTAGCCAGGCCCAGAGCCTGTGTGTTTTTAAACCTTGTAAATACTTAAACCTGAGTCTGTCTTTATTAACCCAACAATATCTTAATATTTGCCAAATAGTCAAAGAGTGCTGTATTTATTCTGAAGGTAATAACTCATCTGTTGATTGTGACATAATGTCAGACAACTCCTATAAAATGAAATAAATTACCGAGCAGGGAATTTAATGGGGTAAACTGTGCTTTTGGATGTTTTTAAAACGGATCTATTTACTTGTTTTATAATGTTTTTCTCATGTGTCTAGAAAGGGGGGGGGATAAACGGAGCACATTTGTGTTAACGTTATGAACACTTCCTGTTTTGATTGGTAATGTAGGGCTAAGAGAGCAGTGTTGGTTGAAGCAGAGAGCACACTAAAGGCACCTTAGTTTGATTTGAACCCGAGGTGATGAACGGAGTTCTTTTTGCCAAAGCGGCTGAGTCTGTAATATATTGAACACAGACTGTTAGGAGTTTTTCACGTTTTCTGTGTGCACATTTTTGTGCTCATAAAATCACAATCTCGAAAAGAAAAGAAAACAACGTGGCAATAATACTCTTATGTAATCAATGCTTGTTTGATTTCAGTAACCATGTTGTGTGTAAAACTTTGCCACGATGTACTGAATAGAAATGTCCCAAAGTCGTTTGTGCTTCCAAGTTTAGATCCTCGGTTGTTAAGGATCCCAATGCATGAAACCAGTAAAGTCGTGTTTTCCTTTCCTCCTCGATAGTTTCACACCAAGTGTACTTAAATCATCGCTGGAAGCTGGGGGTGGTGATCTGTAGGGTTCTGTCTAAAGACTGGGGAAAGGAAAGGCAGAGCGTCTTTGCTATGATGCCTTGTGTTTGATTGACAGCTCCATCAGCCCCTCGAAGCATCAGCTGAACAAAAAGAAGCATCCAACAGTAGATCTGGATCTACACGCTGGACCAGTTGGTGCTTTTGTGTTTGACAATATTTGAGTTTCCTGATGGTGTAGACTAACAGACATTTTTAAGAACTGTATTATTCTGCGTTAACGTTCAAAAGTTGACGTTTAGCCGCGCCGTGCTGTTCAGGCAACAGTAGCTAACGAGGGAACTTTTAATTTTTACACCTAAAAAGAGAATCTGGCATAAGATTGAATGAAGGGAGCCGAAACGATTCTATTTTGACAACAACAAAAAAAGATCACAAAAAAATATGTAGCAGACTTGACTGATGTGAAGCACCTTGAAAACGAGCGGATTTGTTAAATGACGTTTAACAAGTTTCAGAGTCTAAATAGTTGTGTTTTTGGTTGTAAAAGAGTTTTTAGCTCAGTACCACTTTTAGGTAACGACTGTTAAAAACTGAATTTTGTTTGTCTTGTGTTTTTTATTTTATTTTAATGTAGCACCTACTTCAGATGATTTAAAAATAAAAGGCCGGTGTCGTAGAATTGTCAAAAGAACTGCCGTATGAATCGGCAGATGAGTTTAAATAGTAAAATAAAGCGTTAAAAATGGCATGTTACTGGTTTAAAGTGCTCCTCATCAATAACACTTTGTTTACTATTTATCGTACCTTCAATACTCCAGGGACAAGACGTTCTGTATCCTCAGAGGTTTTAATGTTTTTCCTTTGTTCTGTTTTTATATAAACATGTTTTTGTAATCCTGTTTCTGATACATGCAGCTGTAGTAATATCTAACCTTGTCTGGTAAAAATCTGAAATAAAGTGGCGTTTGATGGACACCGGCTTTGGCCTCGATTGTGTCACAGAAACATCCGAAGAACAAAGGAGCAGTTTGATGGTTTTTTTTTTTTAACATTCCCATCATTGCTTCAGTCCTGCTGCTCATCAGTATTCCAGAGGAGTAGGAGATGTTACGTAATGATCACACGGTGAGGCCGTGTTGCATAACAGCAGCAGCGAAATGTGTGTGTGGAGGATGGAGGGAGACAAAAGGATCAGACGTTACAGGGATGGAGGAAGACAAAACTGGGAACAGAGATGTGTTTGAAGACACAAAGGATGCTGCACATTAAAGGGACAGTTCAAATGTTTTGATGGGAGGTTTTGTGGAATATTTTTAACCTTGTAAGCTGACACCTGGCCGCCTTGGTGTGACTCCTGAATGGACCGAGGAGGTAAAGGGGGGGTCGAAGCCACCCCACACCTGATGCATCTTTGCACTGCAAAGTGAGGTAGTAGCAGAGCCAAAATGGTTGCCATGTCCAAAGGTGACCTGATTTTACAGCTGAGCCATGATGAAGTGACAACGTATATTTTCTGCGACCACCAAATTACAAGATTTGAACCCTTTAACTACCCCACCAAGAGAAACTGGAAAAAAAAAATTGTTTGGCATTTCATATTTCTTTGGGCGACTGATGACAACAATCACTTTTTTTTATATAACAAACCCATAACTTTTTCAAATATAGACCGTTACCAAACTGTTGAGATGTCACTTAACCCTTTAACTACCCCACCAAGACAAACTGAATAAAATCCCTATTTCCTTGTGTGACTGATAACAATCAATTATTTTTTATATAATGTACCCATACCCGTACACAAAAAAGTTTTTGAGAACACGAAGACGTCTGTCACAGTTAGCCTGTGGTTCAGCCCAGTTTTGCTCCACACTCATGTCTGGCTCCATCAGTGATCTTTGAACGGCCTGGGGGCAAAATAAAGATGGACTGGTCTTTGCAGCCATTTTGCGGATCCGTTATACGAACGAGTCTGTAGAAAGCAGCTCACCCAAATAGGGCCAAGACTAAAATATACCTTAAAGCAACTCTAATCTCTAAAAAATTAAATGTATCATGTAAAAATGATTTCATAAATCTTTACATTTCTAATGTTTTGCACTACATTTGTAAGTGCAAACAGTGGCAGCAGCAGTAGCACTTCTGTTGGCCTACATCATTACAGGACAGACAATAATTTACGGTAGTCATTTTACTGACAAAATAACCATAAAATGTAAAATATACTTCAGACTGAAAACACAAACTGTTATGAACTCTGGAATTTGAGTTTTCAGATGACAGCAATCTGGATTTTTGAATAAAAATGACTCCAATATCCCAAATTTTATATTGATTCACAAAAACGCTCTGCATACACATGAATTTACAATGTTTTCAATTGTAAACACGTGGAAAAATGTGATGCTGTGGGGTCACATAAACATGTTCATAAAGGTCACGGTTAGACTCCCCAATTCCCAAATGACATGGTGTCTCTGAGCAAGACACCTAATTGCTCCTCGGCTCTTACATAGCTGCCCACTGCTCCACCGGGGTGTATCTCAGGTGTGATGGGTTAAATGCAGAGAACCAATTTTGCCATTGTATGGGAACATGCAGTGATGACAATCTCAACCTTCCCCTCCAAAATAACGTGGGAAACATGCAAAAAGAGTGTTTTCCACATGTGCTTATTACCAGAGATGTATTTTGTAAACTTTTAGACTTCCATCAATTCCACATTACTCTCAGTTCAATATATCCTATTCTTTCCAGAAGTCCTAGCAGCACAGGACATGCTACAGCTAGCAGCAGCTGCTGTAGTTGTGCAATTGTGCCATCATGGTTCAGTTCTCGGCCCCCCTCCAGCCTGTCATGGCAGCTGTCTCCATGATCCTCCACCTGCCTGCACGGACCGAACTTTACGGAACAGTTCAGTTCCACGGGGAAAACTTGGATGTTCTGTGTCTGCCAGACGGATCTGGAAGGCAGTCATCATCAGTTGCCACAGTACAATCATCATGCTGCTAACGCGACCGCGCTGCTACCAATACCACACCACTAACAGGATCACACTGCTAACAGTACCCCGCTGCTAACAGAACCACACTACTAACAGAACCTTGCTGCTAACAGTACCCCGCTGCTAACAGAACCACACTACTAACTGTGCAATTCAATTCAATTCAAAAATACTTTATTAATCCCAAAGGGAAATTATTTGTTGTTGTAACTCGTTATCCTCATTTCATTAAGAGATGTTATAGATGCTGATGGCTGTAGGCAGGAAGGATCTCTTGTAAAGGTCTATTCCACAGTAGATCCTAAGAAACTGGCTGCAGATGCCCCCATCCGATCCATCCACCCAGACTTGGCTGGACTCTCGGTTCCCCTGGGCTGTAGGACCGCCCAATTGCCGGGCAGAACTCCTCCCAGAGGGATGACCACTCCTCCCAGCAGTCTGCTGAGCTCCTCGTTGCTGCAGACATCCAACTGTAGATGCTGAGGGACGATCCTGTCCTTCTGCTGTCATGAGCCGTGTTTCCTGCTAGTTCCAGGATCTCAGTGGTCAGGCAGAGGACAGCTCGCAGGTAGATGAGAATGCGTCCACAGAACATCCTTTTCAACTCTTTTGAGATTTGGGGCTGTAGTTGAGATATTATTTGAGCTTTTGAGATGTTAATCAGCTGCTCTTGGTTGTAAAAAAACTGCCTTGTTGCCATGGTTACGCATCATAACAAATGTCCAAAACTAAAAACGTTTCAGTAAAAATCCTTCCAGCTGCACAGCATCTGATACCAGAGGAAACAGTCATCCAAAAACTGTGATTTACATCCAGAAAAAGAGGAATTAAAGTTTCCAAAAGCAAAATCTCAGAATGAAAGTAACAGAGCTGCTCCAACATGCAGCCACCTTGAGCGGCCCAATTCAATACCATGCTGCTAACAGATCCACATTGCTTTCAGTACCACGCTGCTAACAGAACCACACTGCTAACAGTACCACACTGCTAACAGCACCACACTGCTAACAGCACCACGCTGCTAACAGCACCACGCTGCTAACAGAACCACACTGCTAACAGCACCACACTGCTAACAGTACCATGCTGCTAACAGACCACACTGCTAACAGTACCACACTGCTAACAGTACCACGCTGCTAACAGACCACACTGCTAACAGTACCACGCTGCTAACAGACCACACTGCTAACAGTACCACGCTGCTAACTGCACCACACTGCTAACAGTACCACACTGCTAACAGAACCACATTGCTAACAGAACCACACTGCTAACAGTACCACGCTGCTAACAGTTCCACACCGCTAACAGTACCACGCTGCTAACAG